CTGGGTAAGCCCTCTGAGGTCAGCTCTGACCTCTTATCTGTTTCTGGAACAGATTCTTGAGCCTAATATAAACTAAATATAAGAGAATCTCAATAACAGCCTGCCTCCATCCCAAGCCCATTACAGCTGCCTAGAAAAAGCCAAATTATTTCAGAGGCCTGTTGCTGCTCATTTCTAAGCTCTTTACCGAATTTCTTTGTTTATTTTAAAATGTGGTAGAACTGGGTACAAAATTAGAATGGGGAGCAAGAGTATATTTTTATAAGCAAAGGACTGGTAAATGCTACTGAGTGGTTAAACTCACAGGAAGAACTTTTTTTAGGCCCTTAAATAATAAGAAATACTTTAAAAAATCTTTGCTACAAAACACAAGTTTTTCAGAATCAAAGTTGAACTAGATTAGGACTACTTTGATTGTCTGAAACTGTAAAACCCAAAGGAAAATATGCATAGGGGTCTTGAAACTATGGAATTAGAAATTTTAGCTAGGTAAAGACTGTCATCTCTCTCTCTGTCTCTCTCTCTGTCTCTCTCTCTCTCTCTCTCTCTCTCTCTCTCTCTCTCTCTCTCCCCTGCTTGCCTCTCCTCTGCTTCTATTTTCCTCTTCCCAAAGTAGACATAACAGGATTGTATGTCTGTGTATGTGTGTGTGCATGTGGAGGGAGAGAGAAAGAAAGATTTATTTTAAGGAATTGACTCATTTGATGATAGAAGCTTGGCAAGTCCAAAATCTGCAGGGTGGGCCAGCAGCCTAGAGGCCCAGGAAAGAGTTTTAGTTCAAGTCTGAAGGCAGTCTTCGGGCCAAACTCCCTTTCCTAGGTCAGTCTTTTTTTAAGTCCTTCAACTGGTTGGATGAGGCCTACCCACATTATGGAGACTAATTTGCTTTACTCAATGTTTACTGACTTAAGTGTTAATCTCATCTAAAAGTGTCTTCACAGAAACATCTAGAATAATGTTTGACTCAATATCTGTGAACCATGGCCTAGCCAGGTTGACATAAAACTAACCACCAGAGTAGAAAAAATGGGGAAGGAAGAAGAATGAACCATTCTTCTTAGTTCTGGCCCAAAATTCTTGAGGAAGTACTCTAATTTGTTCAGGTAGGTGAGGTGCCCACCACTGGGCCAAGCAATTTTAATCAGGAGTGGTGTCTGGAGAAAGGATTGCTCAATTGAGATTCCCCTGATTGGCAAATCTATTGTGCTAGGGAAGGGGTGGAGGCAGGTTTACCTCATACAAAATAGTAGTCAAGTACAAAAGAAGGTGTTTCATAAGTGGAGAATCATTGATTAATAGCTTGTGAATATAACTTTAAGATGTTAACATATTTTTTTCATTTAATGATGGAATAACTCATTTGTTTTGCAATGCTTTTAAAAAAGATTATGTATTTATTTTTAAAATCCCCACCTGAGGATATGTTCCCATTGATTTTAGAGAGAGAGGAGGAAGAGGGAGAGAGAAACATCAATCAGTTGCTTCCTGTATGTGCCTGGATGGGGGAACTAACCCAAAATTTAGGTATGTGTCCTGAACAGGAATCAGACCCACAACCTTTTGGTGTATGGGATGACACTCCAACCAACTGAGCCACCCAGCCAAGGCTGTTTTGCAAGGCTTTTAATGTAAGTTAGTTATGGTTAACTTATATTCTATCATGTTGCACATAAATTTTAGTGGAGATGGTATTTTTATACACCAATAGTGAACTTACAGAAAGAGAGACTAAAAAAGAAATTCCATTTACCATCACACCAAAAAAAATCAAGATACCTAGGAGAAACAATGGCTTCCTTCATTTAAGTACCTAAAATTGATTTCATTTACCTTTCTCTGAATATTTTCCTAGCTTCATCTAGAAACCGGAACTCTTCACCGGATCCTCCTGCAGAAGGTAATATATGTTTTTTGTGTGTGTGTTTGTATTTTTTCCCCTAGAGACCTGTTCTGAAGGGATGGAGTATTGAACTTTCTTATAAACATAGTTGGTCTGAGGGCCAGCCTTGTGCCTAGCTGAAGAATATGCTGATCTGAATGCTGTGGGGTGAGGGATCCTGAATGAACCTGCCCCTTCACCCCCAAAGCAGTTGAATTCCATTTGAAAATTATGGATCTTGCTCTATCAGGCACTGTTCTAGGCTCTTCAGGGAACACAAAGATGGGCAAGATGAGTAAGACTGAGCTCCCTGGGGGCTCTCTCATAGTCTTACTCATCTTGCCCATCTAATGACTTGCCACAGGCATTAGGCCTGGGCAGGGGTGGAGCCGGCGATGGCGGGGAACTGGGGGTCCCCTGTCCAGGCCTAATGCCTTGGTCAGAGGCATTAAGCCTGGGAAGGGGAGGAGCTGGAGATGGTGGGGAGCAGGGGCAGAGCCAGCAATCATGGGGAGCAGGGGCAGAGCCAGTGATGGCAGGGAGCTGGGGGTCCCCTTCCCAGGCCTAATGCCTAGGTCAGAGGCGTTAGGCCTGGGCAGGGGCCTAGCCGGCAATTGGTGTGAACTACAGAGGAAACAGCTTTTCTGACTGCTTATTGGCTAAGCTCCCTGTATGCCACTGGTAATATTCTTAGTAACTTGGGTAATAAGAATCCAATAAGGTGATCTAGGGTTTTTTACCACACTCCTGGAGAAAAAAAGGAAGGTCCGCTGCTGGAGGGCTAACAAATGACATATCCTGCCCTAGCTGGTTTTGCTCAGTGGATAATGCCTTGGCCTGCCCACTGCAGGGTCTGGGTTCAATTCTGACTAAGGGCATGTACCTAGGTTGCAGGCTTCTCCCTGGCTGGGGCCCAGGTCAGGGCTCATGCAGGAGGCAACCAATCAAAGTGTTCCTCTCACTTTGATGTTTCTTTTTGTCTTTCCCTTTCTCTTCCACATTCTCTAAAAATCAATGGAAACATATCCTCAGGTGAGAATAAAAAAAGAAAGAAAGAAAGGTCATATCCTATGAAAGACACATCTTGAAAATGCCTAAAGAAAGTTGTCATTTTTTCATGGTGAAGGGACTGGAGTCCGTGTTGATGAAAACACCTTGGTGGCTCCGGTGACTGGCAGTGGCTGCAACAGTGGGGTGATGGGGTTGGTGCCTTCCCCTGATCAGCCTGGTCGCCTCCCACAAAGGGAGGCCAGACTGTGGCTTAGGCCCGCTCCCCAAGGGGAGCAGGGATCGGGCCTAAGCTGTCAGTAGGACATCCCTGAGGGCTCCCAGGATGTGATAGGGGGCAGGCTGGGCTGAGGGACGCCCCACCCCCTCTAGTGCACAAATTTTTGTGCACCGGGCCTCTAGTAAGTAAAATCAGAGTGTCTAAGAAAAATCAAAGGGAAGATATCTTAAAGCTTCCAGGAAATCTCCACCAATGAAGCAAAGAATTAAAAAATGCCTCTATTATTCTGTGAGCAACAAACCAAACTCGGTTGGGGTTCTCAGACAATTCGCTCATATGATTGCAAAGACAGACAGAAACTCCCAGATTGGAGAGGGCTCCCCTGCAGGCTCCCATATTGGAGAGGGTGCAGGTCGGGCTGAGGGCCCCCCCACCTCTTACTCCCCCAACCCCCACCCCTACCCTACCCCCACCCCACACCTCCTGACCCCCCCATGCACTAATCTTCATGCACCAGGCCCCTAGTCATTAACCTAAAATAATAGAACATTTTAATAAAAATTAATGTTTTTTCTTGAACATTAGATTACTAGACATGGAATAACTGCACAAATTAATAAGCGTAATGCAAATAAACATACTTTTCTTGTTCTCCGAAAGTGAAATATTTCTTGCTGCCCACACCAAACAAGTCAGTCCAAGAAAGACTAATGATGTGACAATGGCTGCTAGAATATTCACTGCTAGTATTAGTGGAGAGAACTGGTGCGCATAGGGAAATGAATGCAACATAATTATAGTAATCAGTCATTCGTAAACATTGTATTTCATTATTAATAATTATACATAACAGGATATTGTAAAAATTAAGTATCCAAATTTTTATTAAAACGTTTCTTACATACTGTTATATTGGGCCGCAAACTTACTCTTTGTGGGCTGCATGTGGCTGTGGGCTGCGAGTTTGACATGCTAGATTCTAGATGAATGGTAATGGGGACTTAAACTAGGGGATGGTAGCTGGGTGAGACTGGGAGATATTTATAGACAAAGGATCCAGAAAAGATGGGATATGACAGCTGGTTCTGGAATCTACCCTCTCTCTCCTCAATGCAGTAGGAGGTGAAATCACCCTAGCTGATCACAGGAGTGTATGGAGAATAGTAGGGTTAGACAGGTGCCAAACCCACTGAGTGTGAGGGAGTAGCTAGCTATTGTTAATCATCACTTCAGGCATAAACAGAAAAAATAATGATAGAGAAAAGATAAAATTATAGCATTTCCATTAGTACTATCATTATAAAGGAGAAGGGTGATTGACTTAAAGTTATAGCATGGAGGAAGGTGAAAGAACACAGAATACTTACTATGCTTAGATTCCTCGCCATTTGAGTTAATACTTTGGGTACTTGGCCCTGTTAAAATTCATATGTTTATATGATTACCTAATACTTTCTTTAAACAAATAGAATCAGATCTTGAAGATAAATATTAGGCAAAAAACATTAAAGCCTTATAATGTTTACAAGCTAAAGATCAAACTCCTGAGAAATTAAGAAGCCTTCAAACTTGCCTCCTCACCAGTTTCTTTTCTTTCTGGTTTTATCTTCAGCATCTTTCCCTTGTGCACATGTAGCTTACCCACATCTAACTCTAGTGGCTCCCAACAAGCCAAGTGTTAGGTAAGAAACATTGTGCATTGTGGTGTTTCAGATAATCAGATTTGGGACTGAAATAAATGTCTCTTTAAATTTAATATTTAACTGCCTTTCAGATCTGCTTTAAATTCCCCCTCTTCCTCATCTAGTTAAGTGATCTTTATTTGGCTGTGAAATTCAAAGGCTTGAGTACTTCACAGAAAAGGCAGGTGACACCAACAGAGGAGAGAGATTAATGCAGAGTTTAGCACAAGCAAGCTTCATTCACATAAAAATTTTGCCTTACCATACAGTTCATGTTAAAAATGATGAAATTACGGGCATCACTGTTACAGGTGAGCTGTAACAGGTATACCTAGCAAACCCCTACTAGTCATGGACACATTATGTCAATTTATGGGGAAAATGTGAGATTCCATGTTGGAAAATACTTGTAGGTTGCAGGAATCAATTTTTACTTTAAAAGATGGAGAAAAAGAGTCAACTTCTATATTGAATCCTCATTATTAGAGTGATTATATGGTAACAAAATCTGTGAGACAAGTTTATAGTTGATCTCTTTGGAAGTCTGTATAACTGAGAAGGAAGGAAAGAAGAATCTGTTAGTTTTGCTGACTTTCTGGTTCTCCACATAAAAGTAAAAAACTTAAAATTTTCCCAGCTTGCTCAAACTGAATGCCATCTTATTATTTTTAATACCATTTACCTTCCATATTTATTTTTGCCTGAAGTGTCACCCTTAGGGATGGGCTTTTAGATTTGTTATTACTGATTTATTCTCTCTCATCAAACCTTAGAAGGAAACAACCACATCATTAGTTATTCCATTTTCTACCCCAGGAAATATGAGATATATAATAAATATAATAGTCTCTGACCAAAAGATTCATTATCATTGTCTTTTAGTTGATAAATGAGTTTTCTTGTTTTTTTTCCATGAATATCAAAACACCTGAATTAATTTAAAAATACATAAAAATGTGTTCACATAAATAATTCATACTGTTTATCTAATAATACTAGTATAGGAGAAAATGAGTTAATCTTTGGATTAGGTTTAATATGTTATATATACAGTGCATCCCAAAAATGTATACACACCTTGACTGATTATATAATCAGTGTTTATTAACATACGGCTCAATTTCAGAATTTAGAAGTATCTACAGAAGTGAATAGTTTTTTTGTCAATGCTTGTTTTCAACTGATGACCTTTCTGGTCTAGGCACTGCTAATAATGCGAAGCAATGGAATCACAAACATAAAGAATCATTTAGCCGTGGCTGGTTTGGCTCAGTGGATAGAGCATCGGCCTGCAGACTGAAGGGTCCCGGGTTCGATTCCGGTCAGGGGCATGTGCCTTGGTTTCGGGCACATCTCCAGTGGGGAGTGTGCAGGAGGCAGCTGATCGATGTTTCTCTCTCATCGATGTTTCTGACTCTCTGTCTCTCTCCCTTCCTCTCTGTGGAAAATCAATGAAATATATTTAAAAAGAAAAGAAAAGAATCATTTAGTTCGTTATATTCCACAAATGAGTGAGATCATGTGGTATTTATCTTTCACTGACTGGCTTATTTCACTTAGCATAATGCTCTCCAGTTCCATCCATGCTGCTGCAAATGGTAAGAGTTCCTTCTTTTTTACAGCAGCGTAGTATTCCATTGTGTAGATGTACTACAGTTTTCTAATCCACTCATCTGCTGATGGGCAGTCATTGAGTTAGGAGATGGATAATAATACACAAATATTTAGATAGTATTTTAAAAAAAGAATAATTTAGTTCGGTATTTGTGTGCCCACAATTCATTGACTGTTGCAGGTTTTGTACTGTAAACTTTATCTTTTATGTATCTCTATTAAAAAAAGTCTAGTGGCTCTTTAGGGTAAATTTTCTTTGTTCAAAACATAGTCTGGCTTCACCCATTATTTCAAATCAATTAAACCTGAAAAGGAGAGAAAAGTGAGTTGTCAACTGTTAAATCATGTATACATTTTTTTTGGGGGGGGACACCCTGTATTTTGGTAATGTTTAATTTTTTTCAATGTAAGTCTAATATTTTTGGAATAAGACCACCAGCAAAATAATGTTCTAGTACAACATTATGTAATATGATGTGGAAAATGTAACACGTGAATTTCTTACCAAGTTTTTCTTTTTTTAATTCTATGTGTGTGTGTGTGTGTGTGTGTGTGTGTGTGTGTCCAGTTGATATTTCCCTGCCTGTACTGGTGGATACAAAGGCTGTGCTCTTTTGCTCTCCTATCCTGTTGACAAATGTGATCATGACAACATGGGAAATATTCCTCGGAGACAAGCCTCCCTGCATCAGAGCTTACAAGAGAGACACAAATGAGACCACAGAAACAAACTGCGCTGACGAGAGAATGACCTGGCTCTACAGACCCACCCAGATTCCTGCCCTTCAGATTGACCCAGTGGCCATCACTCATGAAGGGCATTACAGGTGTATAGTGGCAGCATATGGTGGGAATTTCTTTTATGAATATCAACTCCGAGTGTTAGGTAAGGAACATTATACATTGTGGTGTTTCAGAAAACCAGATTTTATACTTAAAGGAACATCTCTCTAAATACCATGTCTAATGTGTTAGGACTAAAACACTTCCTTCATCTCTGCAGTGGCCCCTGAGGTGACTCTGTTTCAAAGTGAGAATAGAACTGCAGTGTGCAAAGCAGTTGCAGGGAGGCCAGCTGCCCGGATCTCCTGGACCCCAGAGGGAGATTGTGTCCCCGAGTATGGATATTGGAGCAATGGCACAGTGACTGTCCAGAGCATGTGCCACTGGGCAGATGGCAATGTGTCTATTGTGTCCTGCTCTGTCTTCCATGAGACTGGCAACTGGAGTCGATCCATAGACCTGAATCCAGGTAAGTAATTCTAGTTTTGTGTTTGATTTTCCATTCTTTCAGAGGAGTTGTGGTAAGAAGAAAAAGGAGTTTGTAGAGAATTTCTCTCAAGGATGTTCTCTCCACCTTCTGTGTTATCTCCTTCTCTTACACCAAGTAAGTGGGATATCTAGAAGAATAATGCAGAATTTTGTTGTAAGGAGCCATATTTTAAAAGAATGAGGTAGATTCTTTAATAATTAAAATAAAAAAGAATTTAATGTTCACTTCTATCTAGTAGTAAATTGGCTTGAGTAGTGTAATTTCTCTGGCATACAATATCTACAACTTAGGAGTTCAATCTTTCTTTACCTTGTGTTTGCTTCATTCATAATCTTTGATGGTTGTGGGTGCAAGCAGTGGCTCTGGCGCCAGCAGTGGGTACAAGCGGGGCCAGTGCTGGCAGCAGGTACGAGCACCAGGCGGGACCGTGGCATGCGGGAGCAAAGAATTTTCAGTAACCAACATAGGTTCTCCCTGATGACAGCAACCAGCGCCCTGCCTTAGTCTGGCACCCCCACTCACCGGCTCCACCATCCTGCCGTGGCCAACACCTGCCATGTTCCACGCGAGTCCCCTGGTGGTCAGCGCACATCGTAGTGACCAGTTGTTCTGCTGTTCGGTCTATTTGCATATTAGGGTTTTATATGTAAAGATTTCTTTATTGACATTCTCTGGTGAGATATTATTCTCCTGGTTTCCCTAAGTTCTTTGTGCATAGTTTTCTTTAGCTTTTTGAGCATATTTAAAATTGTTTATTTAAATCCTTTTGATAGTAAAAAGAAAAAAGTGTTTCTTTAGCAACAGATTCTACTTATTTGTGCGCATTGGCTGTACTTTTTTTTCTTTTTAGAAAATAACCATATTTGATACATACATATTTATGGGAACCCAGCGTACATGATAGAGTCAGAGACCCTACATGTGCGAGAGGTTCTGGCTGTACTTTCTTGATTTTTTTGTATGCCTCATAAATTTTTTGTTGAAAACTGAAGGTTTTAAACATTATAGTATGACAATTCTGGAAATAAGATTCTCTCTGCACAGATTATTGTTGCTGCTTGTTATAGTTCTTTTTGTTTGGTTAGTGACTTTTCTGAACTAATTTTTTTTAACATCTTTAGTCTTTGTTGTGTGTGGCCTCTGAAGTCTCTGTTCTATTAGCTTTTCAGTCAAGTAGTGATGTGACAGTAATTCCCTTAAACATATAGATTTTTTTAAAAAATCTAGTTTTTGCAGATGGACTTTGTGTGTGTGTTAGGCTAGACCTTCAACATTTACCAGGCAGTTTACAACTCTGCATTAGCCCTCACTTCCTGCTTGTGCAGAGCTTGAATATCAGCCAGAGGTGAGAGCTTGTGGGTGGCCTTCAGGTTCCCCAGTAAACTAGTACATGGCAGCTTTTTAAGGTCCTTAGTCTCCCATGTATCTCTTTATCCAGACTCTTCCTTCCCAAGCTTTTTTGGTGTGTCTGCTTCTTGCCCAATCTTGTATGCCTTCCTCTAAGTAGCTACCACTATATATTTGTCTTAAAATGCTTTAACAAATGCCATCAGGGAGACTTTTTCAGTTCTGAGATATTTCCAAGGTAGGGGAAACAGGGCAAACCTCTGAGCCATTTCTTAAGAGAGCCACTAATCAGGTCAAAACACAGAACCACAGTTCTTGAAGAACAACATCTTATAGTGGTCACCACATTGTTACCTTGATTTAGTAAGAGACAAGTTTTCCTTCTCCCTCTTTTGTCATCTGAAACCAGTTCATCAATGCATTCACAAAGTATGTATTAATGTTATTTATATGTTTAAAAATGGTATTAAAAATGAAATAAGGTCCATGTCCTCATATTTTTCCAGAGCAAAGCCTTTGGCATAAAATGGCTTCTCATTTATCAGCAGTGTGACCTTGAACAATATTTAATATTAATAAATGTTAGTGCTGATATTTATCATATTAATACACATTAGCTATTATACTTATTATTATAGTTCTCATTAAAAATTATTATAGGTGAGCCCTGGCCAGTTTGGCTCAGTGGATAAAGTGTTGGCCCATCGACTGAAGATTCCCAGGTTCGATTCTAGTCAAGGGCATGTACCTCAGTTGTAGGCTCCTCCCAGGCCTGTCGGTGCTCATGCAGGAGGCAACCAATCAATGTGTTTCTTTCACAACGTTTCTCTCTGTCTTTCCCTCCCTCTTCTACTCTTTCTGAAAGATCAATGGAAAAATATCCTCGGGTGAGGATTAAAAAATAAAAATAAAAATAAATTATTATAGCTGGAAGTGGAGCTCTGCACTGAGACTGGGTCCTTCATGGCCATTTTCTGTCCAAGTAGATAGCTGACTAGAGACTGGAGCCAACCAGAGCTGCACTGGAAGTTGAAACTGAGCAAAGATTAGACACAGATTTAGACGGGTGTTGTTTTTGTTATTTTATTTTATTTAACTTTATTGAGGTGACATTGGTTAATAAGATCATATAGGTTTTAAGTGTACATTTCTATGATACATGATCTTGCATTGTGTACCCACCACCCAAAGTCAAATCATCTTCCTTTTTGCCTCCTTTACCCTTTACAACCCCCTTCCTTCTAGTAACCACCATACTGTTGACTGTGTCTATGAGCTTAAGTTTTATATCCTACATATGAGTGAAATCATGGTTATCAGCTTTTTCTGACTGACTTATTTCACTTAGTATAGTGTTCTCAAGGTCCATTCATGTATGGCAGTATTTCATCTTTCGTTATGGCTGAGTAGTATTCCATTGTGTACTACTATATGCACCACATCTTCCATTATCTATGGAAGGACACTGGTTGTCTCCATGTCTTGGCCACTGTGAATAATACTGCAATGAACTCAGGGTGCATATATCTTTGTGAATAAATGTTTTCAAGTTTTCTGGTAGAAACCCAGAAGAGGGATTGCTGGACCATCTGGTAATCTTAATATATATATTGTTTAATGTATTACACATAGTAGTACATATATCTCCTTTTTTGTTTCCCCCATTGACCTTCACCCAGCCTCCCCTACCCCCTGTCGCATGCCCTCATCCCCCGCCCCCCCAGTGTCTTGTGTCCATTGGTTGTGCTTATATGCATGCATACAAGTCCTTCGGTTGATCTCATTCCCCCCCTCCCCAACACTCCCCAGCCTTCCCTCTGTAATTTGACAGTCTGTTTGATGCTTTACTGCCTCTGTATCTATCTTTTTGTTCATCAGGTTATAATGTTCTTTATTTTCCATAAATTAGTGAGATCATGTGGTATTTTTCTTTCATTGCCTGGCTTATTTCACTTAGCATAATGCTCTCCAGTTCCATCCATGCTGTTGCAAATGGTAAGAATTCCTTCTTTTTTATAGCAGCATAGTATTCCATTGTGTACCACAGTTTTCTAATCCATTCATCTGCTGATGGGCATTTAGACTGTTTCCAAATCTTAGCTATGGTGAATTGTTCTTCTGTGAACATAGGGATGCATATATCCTTTCTGATTGGTGTTTCTGGTTTCTTGGGATATATTCCTTGAAGTGGATCATGGGTCAAATGGGAGTTCCATTTTTAACTTTTTGAGGAAACTCCATACTGTCTTCCATAGTGTCTGCACCAGTCTGCATTCCCACCAGCAGTGCACAGGTGTTCCCTTTTCTCCACATCCTCGCCAGCACTTATTGTTTGTTGATTTGTTGATGATAGCCATTCTAACAGGTGTGAGATGGTACCTCATTGTCATTTTGATTTGCATCTCTCAGATAATTAGTGACTTTGAGCATGTTTTCACATGTTTCTTGGCCTTCCTTCTGTCTTCTTTCAAAAAGTATCTATGTAGATCCATTGCCCATTTTTTGATTGGATCATTTATCTTCCTTTTAGTAAGTTGTATGAGTTCCCTGTAAATGTTGGAAATTAAGCCTTTATCAGTGATAACATTTGCAAATATGTTCTCCCATACAGTGGGCTTTCTTGTTGTTTTGTTGATGGTTTCTTTTGCTGTGAAAAGCTTTTTATTTTGATGTAGTCCCGTTTGTTTATTTTCTCTTTAGTTTCCATTGCCCTAGAAACAGTATCGGTGAAGAAATTGCTTTGGCATATGTTTGAGATTTCTCTGCCTGTGGATTCCTCTAGTATTTTTATGGTTTCCTGTCTTATGTTTAAGTCCTTTATCTATTTTGAGTTTATTTTTGTGTATGGTGTAAGTTGGTGGTTTAGTTTCATTTTTTTTTTGCATGTATCTGTTCAATTTTCCCAACACCAATTATTGAAGAGACTGTCCGTGAACATGGTACGTTCTTCCATCTGTTTATGTCTTCCTCTATCTCTTTTTTCAGTGTCCTATAGTTTTGCGCATATAGGTCTTTTACCTCCTTAGTTAAGTTTATTCCTAGGTATCTTGATTTTTTTTGGTGTGATGGTAAATGGAATTTCTTTTTTAGTCTCTCTTTCTGTAAGTTCACTATTGGTGTATAAAAATACCATAGATTTCTTGGCATTAATTTTGTATCCTGCTACATTGCCAAATTCATTTATTAAGTCTAATAGTTTTTTGATGGAGTCTTTAGGGTTTTTTATGCACAATATCAAGTCATCTGTGAATAAGGACAGTTTTACTTCTTCTTTTCCAACTTGGTTACCTTTTATTTCTTCTTCTTGTCTAATTGCAATGGCTCATACTTCCAGTACTATGTCGAACAGGCATGGTGAGATTGGGCATCACTGTCTTGTTCCTGTTCTTAGGGGAAATGGTTTTAGATTTTGCCCATTGAGTATGATGTTGGCTGTGGGTTTTTCATATATGGCTTTTATTATGTTGAGGTATGATCCTTCTATTCCCACCTTGCTGAGAGTTTTTTTATAAAAAAAATTGGTGTTGGATTTTGTCAAATGCTTTTTTCTGCATCAATTGATAAGACTATGTTGTTTTTATCTCTCAATTTGTTTATGTGATATATCACGTTTATTGATTTGCAGATATTGT